CCAAGTCAGCAATGGCTAAGCATCCATGTGGGGAACTCAACTAGCATATGGAGTTATGGACTAATAACAGTGGCGGATCCAGAAATTAAACTTAATAATTCAACTTTCAAATTTTTTAAGTTCGAGTATATTATACTTGTGAAAATGTGAGGTCAAAATTTAAATATTTGTTGAAATATAGTAACAAAAATATTAAGTTCAATTAAATTTGTTATTTATTAGTTATATTAACGTCTAGTTTGGATCATAAATAGGAGGGAAGATGTAACTTTTTGACTATGATTCATATGTATTCATAATTTTCGACACGAAATATAAATATATACTTCATAAGAATCAAGCAAAGTATCAAGAAATATTATATTCAGACTCATATATAAGTTTTAACGTTAATTTTTTTAAAAAGTTCAATCAATCATATTTAAATATTATTACAAATGAAAAACAACAATAACATAATTAGTATAATTCCATAAAATTATGTGTAAAAATAATAAAATGTATATAAATATTATTTCTATATTTATGGAGTAGAGAGGTTGTTTGCGATTCAGACGAGAAATTATTCAAAAGGTTACAAAAATATATATTTTAAAAAAAAATCATATAAAATAAATAAACCATATCTATATTGTATTTTTCATCCACTAGGTGGATTGTCAGGTTGTAATTTTTATTTTATTTTTGGTTGAGTACGTTGTGATTCTTTAAAGCTGTTTTAGCTATAATAGAGACAATATCAAAGTACATTATTAAGGAATAAACTAAAGGAGATTAGCATTAATGTATAGTGATTAAACTATAGAGGGTTTAATATTAATTATGATTAAACTAGAGAAGTTTAATTAGAATAATAATGTAACACATCACTCGTGTGCACGACTATACTTTGCCTGAATTAAAATACATTTTTTTTAATTAATTGTTTTTTGTTCTTCAATAGGGTCTGCACGTGACATGTTTTATGCTGAAAATACAGTTTAATTTTATTGTTGTTGTTCCTTTTTTTCAAAGACTTTGTGATATATGATTAATTTGAGCCGAAGGTCTTTCGAAAATAATTTATTTATCTTCGTAAGATTGAGATAAAGTTGTGTATATCTATTTTTTTTGTGAAATTATATTGAGTATGTTATTGTTATTGTTATTATTATAATTATTATTATTGTATCTTATAAGTACTTAGTAATTGTTTATTTTAAATGAAAAAAAGATTTTAATTAATGAATGGGAAAAGGCTGAATAAAATTCCACAATAAAAGACAAGGGTCACAGTGTCCCATACACATAAAGCCAATAATTAAAAGAAGATACAAACAGCTCTTTATTTGCTTTAATCCCACTTTCGTTTTATGGGAAAGATTAAAGAAATCCAATTTATTAAATTAATTAAATTCTTTGAATTTTGACTCCGTTTTTTCCGCTGTCATTAATTCTACATTTACTGCAGAAATATATAATTAGAATTGGTGATCTTTATAATAATGGTTTTTTGGTTCATAAATATACAACAAACGTATATTTTTTTATTTTTTTTTAAATAACAAGGGTTTACAACAAACGTATATTTATTTCCATATATATATATATATATATATATATATTGTGTGTGTTGAAGTAGTAAGAACCAAGATTCTATTTTTGGTGGATTGAACTTATTTCTGTGTTTAATTCCTTCCAAGTATAGTACTTCCTTTTTATAGTAACGGTGTTTGAGTTAGCTTGCATGTTCGAGTCAGCTCGTCTGCTTCTCGAATATTCTACCAATTATTTGGACTTGGGTCCAGAGATAGAGCTACATTTTCGCAAGATTTTAACTGAATGTCCTTCGTTGAGAAATTATAATGAACAAATAAATTTGTATGGATTTCATTACATTACATTCGTAACTTTGCCAACCAAATTTAGATAAATGGTACTTCTTCTGTTTCATTTTATTTAGCTCCTATACCAAAAATATTTTATTTTACTTGTTCATTTGAGAAAATCAAGAGAGATTTTTTAGTGCTTTTTTTTTGTACTACCTATAATATTAGATAATTATGTAGAGTAGTAGCAGTCAAATTTAAAAGTTTAAAACATTATTAACAAGATTATAAGTGTAGCAAAAAAGCACATCTAAAAGTTTCCTTTAAGCATACGTCAAATCAATAAGGATCAAATAATATAAAACGGGGTGTATTTGTTTTTGTCTCTTTTGGTGTATTTATGAATTATTATTGATCTTAACTAACCATGGGAGAAACTCTGGTATTGGGAATTATTGCATTTAAGTTGACTTGAATGTTGGGTTTATCATTATTGAGGTTTTGAATATGGCAAATACAATAAAGAAGAAATATGAGTAATGCTAAATGGCTAAAAAAATTGATCAGAATTTGGCCAGAAATTTAAAAAATGTATAATATCCTTTTTATTTTAAAGTAAACTGATCTTTTTTCTATTTTCTAATTAAAAAGTATTAAAGTTAAAATGACAAAAATATTCAAAAAGGTCAATAACATAGTGTGAAATATATTATTTTACCATTCTGACCAAACAGATTTTTTCAAGAAATATTACATCCTACTAACCTTTTTTACTTTGAGCCTGATCGAGAGTGAGCTTCTCAATAATCTCTTTCTTTCTAAAAAAGTAATTTAAACGATCAATAGACATATTACGTATACAAAACGAGATTGATATACTATATCTCATTTTATTAATTCTTTGATAAATATAAAAAAACAAAGAATATAAAATCTAGTAGTGGTAAAGTCATGATGTTATACTATTTTGCTTTGGAATTAGTTCAACTCATTGATTTGTATATATTGCTCATAAATGAGTATGGTAGAGCAATACCTAATTCTTTTAGTTTTCATAACTCTCTAGTGTGTTTACTTTCTTGCATTAAATATAAAACTACTTTTGCAGAAAACTTCAAATGCATTTATGCAAAATATATTTTCTTGTTATTAATTACACTAACCAACATATATTTTCTACATATTCAATGCTCTATAGGTCATTAATTTTATTTGGTTGATGAACAAAGTAATACGAATGGAAATGAAGAGGAAAGTAAAAGTATATTATTGATCCAAAAGTATTACTTGTCCCTAATTACTTGTCCACTTTTGAATTGACACACCTATTAAGAAAATAATTAATGATATAGTGAGTTTACCATTTTACCCCTATTAATTATGAAGTGAATGAAAAGTTTTACGTTTTTCAAAATAATTAGTCATTTAATTGAGGGTATAATAGGTAAAAAGAATTTGTCCTTTCTTGATTTGTCAAAATGGACAAGTAAGTTAAGACAACTGAAAAAATAGAAAATGGGCACGTAATTAGAAACAGAGAGAGTATCATATATAAGTGTCTAGAAGCAGACAATACTTGATCAACATATATGCTTCTTCACGAGGATATTTTTGATAATTCAATAATTTTAATGCTTAAAAAATATTGTACCAAAATACTTCAGGAGCGTACATATCTATTTCTATACATAGTAAAACCAGCTCTTTTGGTATATTACCTTTGCATCCAACAAAACCATGCAGCTTTCGGCATGAAATTTAGGATAGTAAATAAGATTTAGGGAGTATATTATTGGTTTGGGTGAATTTATAAGTTACCTTGTATAGTCGTCCCTAAGTATATTTTCTATTTCTATAAGTTATGGTCCATACTATATAACACAAGCCATTGTTACCATAAACTACGATGTAAGTTTAATCACTTTGATCGACCTAATCCCAAGCTACTAGCACTATATCAAAACGATCTTTAGCAGCAATTAGTTAACAATAATAGCTTAATTGCTGCTAAATATGTTCTTTTAGAGTCAATTAGAACTGTGTAAATGTTCCTAAAATCTAAGCGACATTAGATTCAATGACAATTAACTAATATCGATTAAGATTTTGACACTCTTTATTGATGTACATATTTATTATCGTTAAAATCTATTTTTGTTGTAGTGTAGTTTGGGTCATGAATCCGTAAGTTACCTTTTATAGCCACCTCTCAGTATATTTTTCTATTTCTGAAAGTTATTGTTCATACTAACACAAGCCCTTGCTGCTACAAGCTACAACGTAAGCTCAATCACTTGAATCGACCTAATCCAAAAGCTACTTATAATTCATGTAAATCTAGAAGTTACCTTCTTTAGCTGCCAATAAGATATTTTTCTACTTTGAAGTCATGTCATGGTCCATACTAACACTAGCCCTTATTGTCACAAACTATAACCAAAGTTCAAACCACTTAGGTCATACCTTAGGTAAGTACTCCTAAGAGCAATTGACAATACACATTTCTACCCTAGGCCAGGAGCCTTCTTGATCACCAATTGAGATTATTTAGGTATATGTTCAAATGATATAAAGTTTGGATATCTTTTCCCTTACAAAAAAAATAAAAAATTAAGAAATGAAAAGAAAGGAAATGAATTTTTAGTTTTACAATTGAGATGGGCTGACCCATAAGAGATGCTTGGGCTTGCAATTAGGCCCTTCATGACAGTGGCTACTTCTTAAAGACTGCCGAAAAGTGATCAACAAGAACATATCAAAGGTGTATGCAAATTTTATTCCTATCTTTATGAGGTAGGGAGATTATTTTTCGATAAATCCAAAACTGAAAAGTGATCAATGGACACTTTTATACTGAGCTGGATTAATTGAGGATAAAAGGCAAAAACTATTACTTCTGCAGAATCCTTGAAGGTGGAGGGGATAGAGAGACAGCAAACTTATTCAGTTCACTCGATTTTGGTTGGCCAAATTATTCTTAAAAACATTTTCTTTAGAAAAAAGAACCTACTTAAAAGTGATTTCCTAAATAAAGATAAGACAAACGAATTTCATTAATGACATTTCAAGTTCATCGTCTCCTTATCCACTCACCCAATACCCCCAAATCCCTTGACCATGTCACCCTCCGCCACCTCATTCCCCACATATACTCTTGGGAAATTTTTTTACTTACTTCCCGAACACTAAATAAAAAATGAATGAAACCATTCATATTCAAAGGAAACATCTTCATAGAGTTTTCATTCACATACAAAATGGTCAAACTGCTTAATTTTGACCTATCCATAGAGTAGCATAACCGTTGGATTTTACAAACCAAAAGGCAAAGTTTTGTGTTTCAAGAGACAAAAACACAACTGTTCCCATTAAGCCATAAGAAACACTTCATATCTAAACACATTACTGATAATGCCCAAAAACACAGAGGGAAAGGAGACCCTCTATAGATGCATCGCAACAGCGACTAACCCATGGCATACTTTTGGGTCCAGCTCCGAGCAGTTGTTTCATACTTGTTTCGATCAGTCTTGTACATATGAGCAATCTCCGGCACCAAAGGGTCATCAGGATTAGGGTCTGTTAGCAGAGAACAGATGGACAGCAACACCTGCAAGGAACGGACTTGATCAATCGATTATGCTTAAAAGATATTATGATACAAGGAACAGTAACCATTTTCAACTGATGAAAGAGCTTCATTAGGAACGAGGTAGTCATTTTTTATTAGAGTTAGGAAAGGGAAAGACTAAGGTGCTGGTTCTCACACAACTTCAATCTCAAAATATCGAAGATGTTCCATAAAAAACTACAAAGTAAAAGCAGTGTATTAGGTGAATATATTTCTATCTCTTATGTTTGAATCACTTATGTTAACCTAGAACGAGAACAAGATAATTGATGTGTTAAAGTCCAGATAGTCGATCATCGATATACACTTGATAACTAATGTGAGCACTCTATCCAAACAGGGACGGTTTTAGACCTCAGAACTCTTGGGGGACGTAAATAAGAAGAAAAATCAAAAGATAAAATCAGCATGAGCACGAATACAGGAAATGAACCTCACCTTGGAGATAGTAAGAGCTGGGCTCCACTGCTCCTTCAGAATGTCAAGGCAAATACTACCATTGCTGTTGATGTTCGGGTGGAAAACCTTTGTCCTAAAAGCAACCTGCACATTTATCTTGTATTAGTCATGGATTTTTGTCCAGGAAAAAGTGTGTAAAAGAAGAATAAGAACTAAAGACGCATCATAGAACACAACATTCTCCAAAGGACCCAGCTTCCCTTTTTTATGTTTTTAAAAAGCAGTTCTCTCCCTAGTAAAATTTAATAATGTACAAATATATTTGTTACGCAATGATATCGCAAAGTTACAAGCCAAGAAAATGATTGCACCTCTGGGTCTGCAAGAGAATCTCTGCACAATTTACTATAAGTAGGAACCTATCAAGCAAGTCATTAAAAATTGTGTACATTTCATGCTGTAGGTAAAATACCTTGGGTGGCTTAAATGGATAATCAGGTGGAAAATGAATGGTAATGAGAAACAGTCCACCGGTGTAGGGACAGTCAGGTGGACCCATAATTGTTGCTTGCCAGTGGAACATATCTTCGCCAACTGGGCCTAATATAAACAATAGGAGGCAAGAACATAACAATCAGAAATCTCCAAATGCAGACCTTGGGCAATTTTTCACATAATATTTGGGGATTTAGGCTTAATACAGCGATATTTACATTAGCTTGCGTAAGAAAAGGCACATAGATAAAAGCACACAGAATCAGAGATCCACTTTCCAGATGCAGACTACAAACAAGTCTCAAGCATGAGTATGGAGATGGTAAGCTTGGGAAGAGGCAGGCACTTCTAATTTCTAACCTATGCGGGTCATTTCCAAGTTTTAGAACCTTGTCTCGTGAAATTTTTAGCCTTTACCAAACCAAAATATATGTTTCTTTTCAGACTCTTCCTAATCTTTCTAACAAACGGAAAGGTTCAAGGACTATAGTTTTTTAGGATAAAGAACTAATTCAAACACCAAAAGATCATATTAACTTAGATCAATGTAGGAACCCAAAAACTTAAAATCCTAGATCCATCTCTGACCATATCATATAACTTCAACCCTCGACTATCCACACAGTCACAAGCTTGTATCATAATTCACTCTACCTATTTTCTCAATCTGACTATAATCAGCAACAAAAACCCAGGTCAAAATACCATAATTTACATTCCCTTTGAACACAAAGTTGGTAATCAAGGGCCCAAAGCTTTAGTCCAAATGGCAAAGGTAGGGATCAGTGGTAGGACCACGTCAATATTTTGATCCTTCTAAACTGAGTCTGATGATCAAGGGTCTGTTCAGTATGGAGGAAAGCATAATGTTTTCCAATTTTTCCATGTTCGATTGGCCAAACTATATTAAAAACATTTTCTAGGAATACAAGTTCCTAAATTGAGGAAAATGACTTCCCTAGTGAAAGTAAGGAAAAACAAGTACCACAAGTGGCATTCCACATTGATTGTGACCTCCCTGCCCGCCTACACAACTCATCTTCACCTAGCCTTTTGTAGCCCCCATCCCCAATACCTCACCTCCACCTCCTATTTATATACAAATGCTTATCGAATAATATTACTTTGCTCATGTATCGAACACAAGAATAAGTAAAACTCACTAATTTTGCTGATTATTTTTTCTCCAGAAAATCATTTTCCTTCATACCAAACACGCCCTAAGTGGAAAAGGGTAGAGACTGCCAGAGGTTACCCATTATCCACCAAGTTACATAATTAAAAACAAGCTGATTTCAAGTTTAACTTGTGTTCCTAATCTGTTCATCTAGACACCTTAACCTAAATTCTCTCATTTTCAGCACAATCAAAATCATGCAGAACAACCTACAGAACTTGACTATTTCTCACCCAATACAACAAAATCAAAAAGGAAAAAAACAATTAGCAGATAAAAATTCCGCAATCACTTCATCAAGCTGCTAAAATAAAAAATCAAAGCAAAAATCAACTAACTTCGCATGAAAAATGAAAAAACACAAGCTATATCAAATGAAGATAAAACTAAACTTCAAACTAAGAACAGGAAGTTTCTAGAAACTTTTAACCCAAATAAACGAAGTTTCTAGAAATTTGAACACAAAAACAGAAAAAACGTGCGATCACATCATCGAGCTGCTAAAATGCTAAATCTAAGCAAAAATCAACTAAACTTCACAAGCAAAATGAAGAAACACAAACTATATCAAGTATTTTTTTTAAAACAGAAGTTCAGGAAGGTTCTAGAAACTCACCAGCACTGCAAGAAGTAGGAGGATCTTTCTGCAGATCCTTGAGCTCTTTCAGAATCCGCTTGGACGCCATCGCCGACTAAATCCCTATGAGAAAAAAAAATTAACAACAAAAAATTCAAAAAAATTAACACCAAAACATCAGATAAAATAATCAGAACTGATCGAAGAAGATGATGAATTTACCTGAGAGATCCTCCTACAAAGTTTCCGATTCTGAGAAGTGAAAAGAGTTTTTGCTTTGAACTGAGAACAGTTATTTATATATATATATATAAAAAAATGGCTTTTGGTATTTTTGTTGCACAAATTTCAGTTACGCCCCTATTGGTTTCAATATTTGGCACTTAGATTCCTTTCTTTCTTTCTTTAACATGTGGCAAATACATCCAAATTTTCTGTTGTTTTTTTGAAATAATAAAAAATTGTTAATATAATTTTCAATCAAGTAAACACACGTCAAATCAGATTGAGTGTATCTTATGCGAATTGTCATAAGGATCACATTTATAAATTATGCTCAATATTTACCCCGAAAGGTTATGGTCTGAAAAATAATTATTTTTGTATTTTTGATTAAAAGCTTTAAGTTCGAGTTTGAAAATGAAAAAAAATAGAGGAAGGAATGGTTCCATTTTTAATGTGCGCAAAATATATTTTGTATTATTAATTTAACGTAAGCGTTGAATATAAGGTAAAAGTATAACAAGTATTCTTCCAAATTAAAACTAATTTAGCTAGTGGGAACTATTTGTCCATTTTTCTTCACCATTTAACACAACACACATAAAATAAAAGGATTAATTCTTTTATGGTTAAAGCGATCAGTAGTAAAGTGAGTTTGTGATAATATGACGTGCTTAGTTGTTTGTTTATTTATAATAAAAATATGTATATAAAATTACAACTACAATGGAGCTTGTCTAGCTTAAATAATTAGATAGTTGACAAGTGTTGGGTCTTGAAAAATATTTTTAAATTATTGATTTTATGATTAACTAGTTATGTATTTAAATAGCTCAGCTTAAATTAATAATAAGAGAAAATACATAATTACCTTATTAAATTTGTATCCTTTTTTGAAGCAGACACCTAAAGTTTGCGGGGATTCTATTACCTCACGAAACTATTTATATTCACGATAAATACACCTTTTTCAGCCATTTCTACTGCAATTGTGTTCTCACGAAAATTGGACGCGTGAAAAGTAGTATTACAACTCCAAACCAGTATTAAAATACCATGTGGCGTTTTTAATTTGATTTTTTTAATTAATAAATTAGACCCACCTTCCCATCTTCCCCAAATCACCATTAATAACCTTTTAAGAAGCTTTTCCAAACAGCCCAAAAATTAAAAACCACCATTCTTTCTCAAATTTTGTATTTTAAAATGCGATATTATTAGATTCTATCTTCTTCTTTTCAAAAACTTAACTAAGTAGTTTTCTCTTTCCTAAAATTTAAAGATAAAAAATGGTGATGCTAATAGATAAAGAAGGCGATTTAGGATGAAGATGATGATTTAATTTGGTTTGATAGAACTTCTAATTTTCATATTTGATTATTTGTCATGATGTAGTAGTGATTAAGTAGTGCAATGATGGAGTGTTGTCACTATGATTTGTGGTGGTGGAATTCAAAAAAACAAATTTGAGAAATCAGAGGCAAAGTAGAAATTTAAAAGAGAAAAAATTACAAAAAAGAAAAGAAAAGGAAATAAAATAGAAAATTAAAGGACAAAAATGAAAAGAATTAAAAGTTAAATAGTGAATGACATGTGGTAGATTAGGGTTGGTGCGTGATTTTGCATCTGCCTTATTACAACTGGGAATGACCGAAAAAGGAGGTATATATGCTACTTTAAAATAAATTCGTGGGATAATAGAACTCGCACAAACTTTAGGTGTCTACTTCAAAAACTGGTATAAGTTCTGGGGTAATTATGTATTTTTCCTAATAATAAACACAAACTTAGCTAGCATCTTATTATAAATTTTGAATCAAATCCTGAATATTTATCTTCAAATGTTTGTTTGATCATAGAATTTATATCAGAGTTCGAAAATCTATCTTCAAAAATATTTCCGATAAACTCAAGTAAGCATATCAAAAATTTGTAAAACAAATAACAATAGCGAAGAAAAAAAACCATGTTTACAACAATTAAGAAGAGAACAAGTAGCATTACAAATAACTCAATAGTTGAAGGAAAGAAAACAAGTACTACTACAATCGAAAAAAAGAAGAAGATACAAATGCATACAAAATAATGCACACCTACTCCGAACTTACTGACTCTAAATCTTGAATTCGTCCCACATCAACCATGTTCTTGTGATCATTGCATCAAGAACATGGAAGAGATGGTACTTTGAGAGTGAGAAAGAGAACTTAGATTTGTAATCAAAGTACTATTTCAAGAATACCTTAAAATAAAGTGCCTATTGGATTAAGTTACAAAGTATTCAATATTTCACTGAGAGAGTGAAGTAAAGCATTTTCAACATGAATTAAGATGGTAAACTATGATAAAAATGGCCAACTCATTGAGAATCAGATTGTGTATCAGGCACAGGTGTAGCTTCTGCTCTTGGTGTTGAAGTTTCTGCTTTTCCTTCAGATGAATGCTCATTCTCTAAGCTCGTGGGACGAACGTTCTCGATCATTTTAACAACCTCAAACATTTTTGGTCTTTGATCTGACATCCTTACCACACAAGACATTGCTATCTGTAACATTTCCACCATCTCTTCCTCTATGTTCGGGTACCTCAATAGTTGCAAGTCGAATACTTCAGCAGTCCACTCCTCTCGGACAACTGAATGAACCCATCGGACTAAGTGTATGACCTCATCTCCGTTTGTTGTATGGATGGGGGACTTGCCTGTCAAGAGCTCTAATAACAACACACCAAAGCTGTACACATCAGAAGGTTGAGTGGCTTTACGTGTGTCTGTTACTTCTGGAGCGCGAAAACCAGCAGCACGTGCAACTGGATGAGCTAACGAACTCATTATTGTTGACAGACCAACATCAGATACACAACCGTATTGTTTAGAGTTCAGAAAGATATTTGAGGATTTGACGTTTCCGTGGACTAGCTTGCCACCATTCTCAGCATGTATCCTAGCAATACCTCTCGCTGCTCCAGTTGCTATCCGAAGTCGAGTTTCCCAGTCTAAAGGGATCCTGTTTTCTCCCCGTTTACCTATAAGTTGCATTTTAATAGGTGTCAACACGATCGAATAGCAAAAGCAATATTTGATAACAGGTAACACAGAGATCACAATGATATGAACTGCCTAACAAAAGGTAGAGAATTGAAAAGGAGAATAACTGGTAGCACAGTCAATCCTAGAATATCTCACCTTATCCTGCCTACCAAACGACCTCTGATACCACAGGTAACCATCCCAATTTTAACAAAAGCAAAGGATCGCGCGTTCAATCCTTTGTCTCTCATTTGTTCATATTTTAATTATCATTCTATAACATGCCAAATATTAGAGTAATCAGTATCCTTGTAGCTCCTGGTCGATCCTTTAACTTAGAATAAGCAAATCGCGAAGTGCTTAAAAGTTTAGAATATCCCTTGCAGGACTTATCATCTAAGTGGGAAGCTACTCATTACACAAATGATCTTCTTTTCTTTTCCTTTTGTTCACAAAAGTTACGGCGGATGAAATATTAGGTTAGCATAACTGAGATACAAAAGGAAATAACACTTTCTACAAGTTTCCATTTCACTTCATTTCGTTTGAGAAGAACAAACAGAAGTCCTAGCTCTAACAGCAAAATTAGGGGAGTAAATAAGCAAATAACCAAAAAGAATTTTGTTGTAATGTTCTCAATAGATTCTAAGCATATTAAGGTTGACATTAGCTTAGGATTCCTTAACCTAAACTCCTAGTTAATTAAATCAGGTCCCACCAGTGAAAATTGTAATGAAAGATGCCAACCAACTCCAAATAAATTATCAGAAAAGCTTAGCCATTCATGCACTTTGACATCATGTGCATTTGCCTGGTGGACAAAGAATTGGGAAAAAGGACGCTGGGACCTCGACAAAATCATGAACTATTTTGACTTGCTATAGAAAGTAGATAAAAAGCAGAAATGATTATCCACAACAACATAACCGGCTTACTCCCACAAGTGGGATCTGAGGAAGGTAGAGTGTACGCAGACCTTACTCCTACCTCGTGGAGGTAGAGAGGCTGTTTCCAAAAGACTCTCGGTTCAATTGCAACAAATCAAAGTAGTTATGAAAAGAGAAAGAACAGCAGTGGAGAAATTCTGTCAATTAATACGGAAAGCAGTACAGGACATCAAGAAAAAGAACAGTAACAACAAAGACACGAAATAATGCGGTAACTGAAACACAAAAAGACTAACAGATAACAAAAGCAGAAATGATTATCCACAACAACATAACCGGCTTACTCCCACAAGTGGGATCTGAGGAAGGTAGAGTGTACGCAGACCTTACTCCTACCTCGTGGAGGTAGAGAGGCTGTTTCCAAAAGACTCTCGGTTCAATTGCAACAAATCAAAGTAGTTATGAAAAAAGAAAGAACAGCAGTGGAGAAATTATGTCAATTAATACGGAAAGCAGTACAGGACATCAAGAAAAAGAACAGTAACAACAAAGACACGAAATAATGCGGTAACTGAAACACAAAAGACTAACAGATAACAAAAGCAGAAATGATTATCCACATGCTATGAAATAATTCAGTCAAATAGTGTAATAGCTGAAAGACTCTAGTGACAAAGGAGAAGTGACAATGATTTGTATGGATTTTAAAATAGAGATAGGATTTTGCTTATTTTGTTAACAGAAAGGAGTCACTGCCCCACAGAGATGCGTAAACCACATGTTAGGATCATCCACATTTTTTTTTTTTGATACGGATATATATATTATCATCCTGTGGGTACAACTAACTATTAAGCTGGAAAGAGAATATATGGAGCATATAATATATGTGGATTCCCATCTTGGCCCTACCCATAACACAACAAATTATATTAGTTGGCCTTCAGTTTGGAAGATTCTATGTTGTTTTTAATTGCTTTATGTTTTTCAATTCACTAAACTAACATGTCTGATTGTAAGAACTCACTTAGGGACTATGTAACTCGGACTCTCCAAGAATGTTGTCACACCCTTGTCGGATACTCTAAAAGTGCACTATTTGGAGGATCCGACATGCACCCCGCGGCATTTTTTGAAGAGTCGTAGCAACTTAGTTAGAGTCAACATAGTTTGGGATAACAAATAACTTGTTTTA